ACAAAGGCATCATTCAGAATAGGGGACTTACTAGTCCGAGGGTCAAATACGGCGACCTACTACAAAGCTTGCCGTCTAATCCGCTAATAGACACTACCCGCAAGAAAACGCAGTAGATACTCCAGCGCAGTAGACTACTGCAATCATACTGCAAACATGCCTCAAAGCTGCTTCGAGTAGGGAGCTCATTAGCATATTTGAAACATGCTTCTATCATGCTGCTAATCTACTGCATTAATGCTCCTCCTCTGTACAACCCTATGTAAATTTTGAAGTAGAATTGCAGTAGGCTATACTGCATTTCTACTGCAAATATGCTCCACACCACTACTGCGTTAATGCTTCTTTGCTGCATTTTCGTGCGGGTAAATAATTACCCCGTTGGGAAGTATTCAAGTGGGTCGGCCATATTTGGCCCTCGGACTAGTTAGTCCCCTACTCTGAATGGCCCCAAACTAACACAGCCTATTAATAAGGTCTATATGAACATGCTTTTTTTAAAAATACACATTGTAAGCTTATTTCATTTTATGCTCTAATAATTTTATCTTTCAGTCGTTATTTCTGAATATAGCACATGTAAATACATGCTTCACATCCCAAAACTACTGTTGAAAGAAAGCCATTATATATAACCGAAAATAAATCTTTGCCAATAGCTTCATCAGATGATTCGGTCGCTTTTTGTCTTGTTTTAAGGTGTTTTGTCATATATTTATTATTCGTTATTTATTATGATTTGAGTTTTTTTTTGCTTGTGCTACCTTTTTAACTTTATTGTTTGTTGCAGGTAAAATACGCTGAAGATAAAGGATTCCATGGGCTGGTCTCTACCTTGCCTCTCGCGGCAGAAGGCGTCGGAAACTTCGTGTCTCGACTTCTTGTTGGAATTTTAGGCGACTACCTCAAAAGTTACTTGTTATACATGTTTGCCGGATGCTCCCTGATGTTGTCTCTTGTTTGTTTTATTTTTCCCACGAGCAACTCTTTGATTGGTGCTATCACATTTGGAGCAGGTAGGTTCTCATTTTCTAGCGATTTGATTTTTGAAGGAGAATAATTCGTGTTTTAGTATATATATTTTCCCTTAAGAAGTGTCGTTTCAGCAGACTCATATATCTTGTGTCACATAGCCTTTGTGATTTTGTAATATACTTTGTAATATGTAAAGTGATTTATGAAACCGATGTTTCACACTTCCATTCCTTATACTAGTATTGGGAGGTCATTTTGAGGATGATGATGAAAATTGTGAGATTTTTTTTTATCGGAGACGAACTACGCCTATTGTAATGCACTGCACAGATAGATGGTTATATATCCAAAGTTTGTCAATTGTGGCACAGGGTAATTAAATTGAGCAATATATTTATTCTACTGTTAATACGTGTAATTCAGTTCTAGGAGTCGGGCAGGGTCCTATCATTGCTGGTGGTTACGCTGCCTGTAATGAAGTCATGGGAGGTGAAAGTGTTCACAATTTATTTCTCATTCAGCGTGTTGGATGGGGCCTTGGATTGGGGTCCGGAGGTTATCTAGCAGGTGGGTAGTGAGAAGAAATGGCGAGTGCTTTCATGAATTCAAGTACATGGCCTAGTGTCTGAAAGCGCCAAAGTCTGGTAATATATATATTTTGAGACTCGGCGTGTGTGACACTTCGGTGTAAGGAGCAGAACAAAAAGGATATTTTTATATAATCTACAAACTGGGCCATTGGCTCCATAATAATAGGAAAATATAGTGATTTATGCACGTAGAGTATTATTTAAGTCATTCAAAGTCAAGACCGTGATCATGCAGGACCAATTTGAACACGATCATTGATGAAAAGATGATGAGAATTGCTGTAACTATTTATAATTTGCAAATGTTCGCTGCTATCATAAAACCCTTCAAAATCAATATACATAGCTTGTCCAGATTTAAGATTTGGTTATTTTTTGGTGGGGGTGGGGAGGTTTAGAAGAACATTATAGAAATTAGCGTTATATTAATTGACATGTTCGTTTGCTCATAACATGATGTTTTTATCACTTTAGGGCTCGCTCTGGATGCGTTCAGGTCCTACACCTTGGTATTCAACGCATGTGGACTGTGTTACTGTATCGCCCTGGCTTCCCAGATCATAATTATCTTATGTAACAGATTTTGGTACACTGTCCCCACGTCCTCAGTCCCAGTTATTGCAAAACGACAGATGTCAGCACCGTCAATATTCAATACGAGGCCAAGGGAAAGCAAAATTGCATTACACAACAAAAGCGATAAGCCATCAGAAACAACGGCCCTTTTTGCCAGAAATATAACTTTTGAATCGATACAAATACAGCCAAAGTGATCCAAAACTAGTTCAAATATAGAATCTCGTGTGTTTTCAAATGGTGTTATTGTTATTTACTTATTTAGTTTATTTATTTAAAACTAGTTCAAATATAGAATCTAATGTGTTTTCAAATGGTGTTATTGTTATTTACTTATTTAGTTTATGGTTATTTATATATTTATTTTACCATTCCTGCTCTATTATGAGAATGACGATTTCACATTTCGATTGCTTTCATACTTCCATGCAGTACAAGTTGTCAACGTGATTTACTCAATACGGTAATCAGTTACTACACGATTAATATTGATGCAAATTGACCCAATTTTATCAAACCCAAATAGAGCACATTCGTCTCATTAAGGAGCATAGATGACATGACATTCCAACTGATGTGGAGAACGGTACATAAGAAGTGGATTGAAGGGACTGGCTTATGTATGAACCTCTTTCAGAGCGGAATATCTTTGGGGCGAAGATCCATTAGCGGGAGGGGGGGGGAGGGGGGAGAGAGAGATCGGGATCGAGTAAAAGAAGAGTCCACATCTCGCTATATTTTTGTATGTTTACATCTGACCAAATCTGCAATATGGGACTTTTCGAATATTTTTAATATAATATATATATTTTTTTGATAAAAAGTTTTTCGTTAAAAGGCATGACGTTTTGCAAACTAAACATTCGGATTAAACCCTCAAGTTGTGATGAAATTTTGCACCCGATTTCTGAGTGGTGCACACATTTACATGTACGTCACCCGCAGGTTGAGGGTACGCTAGGCATACGATGAATAAGCTAATTTGAAGCTAAACATTCGTAACTGTTACGCTTCTCATGCAGTGATTGGTATTAGGCAGCGTATGAATAGCTTATATACAACGTAATACTGTCGGTTTCGGCTCGAAAAATGAAAAATGACCGATCGAGTTTTCAACTTCAGGGTAAATAGTGCATCGGGCCGCCCACGCTCCCCACCCCAACCCAATTTTGGTCACTCCATCTCCTGCCCCCCCCCCCCCAAAAAAAAAAAAAATGATGTGCGGGACAAGACAATTTAGAAAGATTTTCATCCCCGCACCCTACATATAATTGCGGTATTGTCCTCGTCTTTTATGCTTGTATCGGTTCGCAGGACATTTTTTCTTTGCGCGGCCCCAACCCATAGAAAATGCTGGATCCACCAGTGATGTTTTATGCCTATACTCTTAATGCATATGTTATTATCAGTATTTGATGAATTCCGACTCCTGTACTGTGCTTATACGAGTATGACTATTAGGTGGGTGTGTGGGATGGGGGGGGGGGCGCGTAACCCCGCCCCCTAACCATCATTAAGCATTCCAGTTAAGCAAGGTTTAGGGAAAACCTTTAGCGTGACAAAGTGATGTTAAGGATATTTGTGCTTTGTGATGTTAAGAACATTTCTGCTTTGTGAGAAGGGAGCGACCCCGCTACCCCTACGACATTCACCCACCCTCCCATGCTTCACACCTTACATGTAGATGAGCTCGCTCATCGCTCCCTCCTTCAGCCTTAGACCCCATTCCCAGAGATTAGATCGATCCAAACTAGATCGACCTAACTCCCTGGGGGTTCACGCTAAATAGCTGTCAGCCGAGCGGGCACGAAAGTTTATTACCCCCTTACAGCTTGTAGTAGGCGGGACGGACATTTAAGCCGGATTATCTGACAGTATAATACACTGTCGCCCGTAGACAATAAATGCCAGAACACCTCGAGCTTCCGCGGCATAACTGAGAGAAAGTATTCGCATTTCATAGAAAAACACCCCTTAAACTGAATACAGCGTACGAGTGTAACGCCACGGTCACATAATCTCTGTAAATGGGTGTAAATGGGTATGTGGCGTGGGCCGCGTGGCTATGACCCTGCTCTAACAGTAGTCTTCATTTAACGTCGTAGCGTTAACAGTGCATGAATAAGCTATCATACATTGCACTTTTAAAACCACAGGTGAATAATTTCCATTGAGTTGACCTTAATATCTATATGGATTCACGTCAGGGAAAGCTACACATGTATATTGTTAAACCCAGTCTCTCGTAGCTGTAAAGGTAGTGCGTCCTTATAGTCTATTATATGACCTGCGGTTAACCATATGTGGAAATGAAGAAAATAAGTACATGGTGTTCTGAGGCCGTTCAATATAGACCCACTGCAGTTAGCTCAAACATAACGCACTTCTTTTATGGGCATTTCATTTAAAAGGTCAGTTGAAAAAGATTCTACAGTAAAGAGGGACACGGTGTGATGATCTGTTGTTGGATGTGTATGAATTCAGTCAAGAGCAGGGCAGGTGAACTTAGATAAAACATCCAGCGTGGGATCACCGAGTGCATGGCCATGATCTATGGTTTTTGAGAGAAGCGTATGTGTTTTTACGGTCAGCATGTAAACCATAAGCGTTCGTAAAGCAGAAAGGACATTGTCTTCGCAAATTTGCACTTGGTTACCTGTTCACACATAATTAATTGCATTGTCTGCATTCCAATGGCGTTGTGGCATTATTTTCGCATATGATGAGCGAAAGGAAAAGGATATTCAGACAACGTATCCTATGAACCGCCAAACTCTGCATCTTTTCATGGTTAATTTTTGGGGCACATAAAAGATGACGATGAATAAAATAATACGTGTCTTCATGGTAGGGGACGTAATGCTAGGGAGAGGAATAGATCAAATCCTACCATATCATTGTAACCCAAGGATATATCAGGAGGACGCGAGCGATGCTAGAGAATACATTCAACTTGCCGTGGAGAAGAATGGCCCGCTGCCCAAGCACATCGGAATGGAGTATGTCTGGGGAGATGCCTTACAGATCCTACGAGAGAAAAGACCAGATTTCCGTTTGATCAACCTAGAAACTGCCGTCACTACAAGCGAAACCCCGTGGATGGGGAAATCATTTCACTTCCGGACGCACCCTCAGCATGTGCAATCTTTGCGAGCAGCCGGTGTGGACTGCTGTGTCCTCAGCAACAACCACGTGCTGGATTGGGGCTACCCCGGTCTGGCTGAGACACTTACTACTTTAAAGGAAGCGGACTTGAAGTACGTTGGCGCAGGAGAGAATATATATGAAGCGCAACTGCCGGCGATCTTTGAAGTTCCGAACTAGGGACGCGTCATAGTCTTCGGAGGGTGTCATAATTCGTCTCACGTCTATGACGAATGGAAGGCTACGGAGACAAAACCAGGGGTAAACCTTCTTAACTTTGATGACGTCCCTTATGTGGTGAAACAACTAGCAGCTCGGGTGAAAAGAGTCAAGAAACCTGGGGACATCGCCATTTTTTCCGTTCACTGGGGACCCAATTATCAATGGCAAAGTTATCACACGGAGCGAGAGTTTTCACGCACAGCCATCGACGTAGCCGGCGTGGACGTAATACACGGTCATTCCTCTCACCACGTGAAAGGTATCGAAGTTTACAACGGTAAATTGATCATATATGGATGTGGAGATTTCCTCAATGATTATGAGGGCAAATTTAAACCAAATCGAACGAAGTACCACAACGACCGCAGTCTTATGTATTTTGCCGATATAAATGCAACCACGGGGCACGTTGTTGGGCTCAGGATGGTCCCCACTATGATGAAAAATCTGCGCGTGACAAAAGCTGATGAAGAGGCGACAAAATGGCTACACGAAAAGATGGCTGAACTTTGTGAGGAATATGGAGAAGGAGTGGAGAGACACAGGACTGAACTGAGATTAGTTATACCCTCTGTCAAAAGACAAATCCCTTCGTTTCTTTTTTGAAAAGTGCCCATGTGTATGCTAGTTTTTATAATCATGCTTATTCCGAAGTCATAATGGTTTTTGTAGAAAGACCACTTTTATGAGGCTCCAATTTGGTATTTTTTAAACACGCGAAAGCCACTTTTCATTTCCCGAGATGCGCAAAATGTTAATATTACTTAGCGCGATCTGTGAAGCACCCCATTAGGGTGACTAGTGAATACGGCTTTTTAATCCTCTTCCACCGTGAAACAAATTCATTATACTATATATTTTCAACTCACCGGACTCGCATTCTCGGTAAAATATGAATAAAGTTTTATTTACTGTGTTTTGATGATTTTGTTTCCCGTGAGCTGTGATCATTACTCCTCCCCCCTCCCCCCAAAAAAACTATATGTACATACAACGGCTCCGATGCTGAATATCGTTACTGTGACATTTGTATTGACAGGGATGATGTACTATTCATATGGCGTATCATTGTAACATTGTAATCCAGGCTTAAGTAAAGGTTAACACTAACGTAGAACACTTAAACGTCGTCTGGGCATTCACCTACCGTTCCAAATCTGGCATTTAGTAATCCTACACACGGGTCGCAAAGTATCTGAATTCTTTATGTAAAAACCTGTTAAAATATGAAGAATTAGACCAGCGTTTGAATGAATTTATGTTAAATTCCAGCCATTAAACTTGTACATCTAAATATATTTTCTAATACGGGGAAACCTCAGGGTTCTGTTGTGCCTCTAAATCTTTATAATTACCTCCGCCAAGGAGGTTATATTTTCACCCCTGTTTGTTTGTTTGTTTGTTTGTCATCAATATAATTCAAAAAGTTGTGGACCGATTTTGATGAAATTTTTAGGAACTATCAGAAGTGGGCCAAGGAACAGATGATTAGTTTTTGGTGGTGATCTGGATCAATAATCAATCAATAATCAATAATAATAATAAAAATTGCTGCCTTGGCGGAGGTCTGCGCTCTCGGAGTGCTTTTCTAGTTAAAACTGACTTTATGTTCTAATATTTGTAACTGAGAGAAACATATGACAAATTCCAACGTTTTTCTCAGCATTAAACAACTCGTGACAAACGTTTTGAACTCGAATTTATTTACAAATGAACATTATCTTTGCTTAAGCTCATGCCACCTTATTAAACGTCTACACACGCCGGTATATTAACTGAAAGAAATATCTTATCAAGGCATTATATTGCGGAAAAAGTAATTATTTAGAAACTCTTTTCGACATTATTATTTTCACGTTTTACTTAATCGATTTATTGCATCGACTCCCGTCTTGACAAGTATTATTGCAACTTGTTGCTATGGAAGTCATCAAAACCATATTCTCCGTGTATTCTCGTTAGTGTACCAGTACAGCCTCTGAACAGAACATCTTAAACGAGGCTTGAGTTTGGAAAGCGAACTTTCACCAATGATGACGTACTTAGCAACTGATTTGCATAAAAGTGCAAGACCACGTGAAAGATAGCACTCCGGTTCAAAACCATCATATGATCTTTTTACGTGGCAAGCAGCATTAACGATGGTACAATTAGTTAAACGTAAATAATAATGAATAGTTAAGATACCTAGCTGTTTTGTTCTCAGTAAACATTTGAAGAAATTAGAGGCATCTTGCAAGACGAATTTTTCTCTTTGATGGAAATGTTTCTCAACATCGAGGCTGAAAGAGCCCGTCATACTTTTCAGTAAGTCATTTACCTATGCCCTGCCCATAACTTATTTCTTCCAGTAAGTCCAGATCCTTTCAGATTTCAACGCAACCTCCATGAGTCCAAAGTATTTGCAGTGATGCTCAGTCTCTTAGATATAAACTTAATACTATTTTCAGGCCATTCACTTACCCTATTTCATAATAAATTAGTTTGGTTATAGTCCCAGTGTTTTTGTGCTCGAGTGCTGAATGGTTAATGTAATGTGTAGGGAATATAGACACGCGGTGGAACCCATCTCCCGGTAAAAAGTAACTCTCGTTTTTCATATCTCGCCATTATTCGTATCATATATTGTATAGGTAATACAATTCGTATTCCCCACACCCTGTGCAAAGTTACGCCGCACGTGGTGATCTATTTTAATTTTCCATTTTTTCGCTGCTTATATCCCGTATTTATAGCTTGACGAGGAGGGGAAAAAGCTACTATAACCTCCGTAACTGGCCTGCGGTTTCATAGGGGCGGCGTAGTAAGTTGGTGCTGAAAAACGAATTAAATTTGTGATATATAACTTTCATGGTATCAACAGTGACTGTATAGTGCAAAGTAAACTGGAATAATAGAATTGTTTCGCCAAATACATAGGCATAATGTATTTAAGCACTGTAAAGATGATAGTCATAAATCGGTTGATATAATAAAACCAATTAATTCTTTTCAAATTTTGCATACAAATTATAGCGAATAAAGAATAGACATGATAAAATTCACACTCAACACTTTGTACCTTTTAGTTTGATATGTCTTGATAATGTACTTGTTAGAACCGTTGTAGAATATTCACGAATAAATCTATATGTTAGTTTTAAAAACGTTTAAAACTACAATACTTTCAATATTAAAATATGAAATGTAGATCTTAAGAAAATCTTCCAAGCCCTGTTTAGTGAACCACTTACCTTTAGCATATGGGCTTTGCGCTTTCTGGGGCGGACCGTAGTAATAATTGACATTTCCTTTTCCCTTAGTGGCGGCAGTCGCTTAAAGAAATGAAAAAATCGAGGATGAATAATATATCTGTTTCTGAAAATATCCAGAATGGACATTCCCGTTACATTACATTACGGGTTGCAAAGTATCTGAGACTATGAACTTGGAAATTGAAGAAAAATATTCGGACAACAAAGGTATGTTATTTATTTATATGCTTATAAGTAAGAGTAGTTGATAAGAGATTGGTAATGAGTTAATCAGATTCATTGCCACGTGACATTACAGTACAGCTACCGGTAGATTGCGTTTCTGCAGCTGGCAAGTATATCGTCGTATGCGTTTTAACAACAAACTTCAATATACAGAGAAGAAAATATTTTGTGAAACTCACCAGGTCTGTAACCTTCGTTACGGTCCACTATAAATCAACAAAAAGAATAATTTGATAACGTGTTCATGGATGAGCAAGTACTGGCAGTTCTGTTTCAATAAAACCAATTATCATTTAATAATTATTCAAAATATGTGCAGGAGAAGATAGTGCCCTTTCTCTGTGGACAATAAGCAAATAATAATGAAAGGGCGGCAAATACACTAAAAAGTTACGGATATTAATACAAAATGAATACAATTGTAGACGAAGCAAAAACTTTTTGTCACAGAACATGAGTCAGAAGATGGAATATCTATCCTTGTGCATAGTTGCCTGAAATGACAAATATGCTAGGGAAATTTACCCAGCTTACTGTATTATTGTTGCCATTAAATAAAAAGATGAAGGAATAATGAAATATTTAAATCAATTATTTAATTTTAATTTGATTAAGTTAAACAATAACATCCAAGCGAGCAAACAAACAAAAAATAATAATAATAAAATAAAACAAAAGTTACCTGCCTCTGCCTGAAAAAATATATAAATGTATAAATGGAATCACATTAATGGTAGCAAACGAAAAACCAAAAAGACTTGCAAGAAAATTAGAAACAAAAAGTTACCTCTCTGGCAATAGCCCGCAAATCCTTGAGAGAACCCGTAGTCGTGCCCCACGTTGCCGGGGATATGAGCACCGTGGGCCATGTAGCTGTCCAGGCTCTTTGACGGACTCGGGTAGACGCATTTATATTCTATAGTATTCAGACGGTCGAAAGAACAAAGCGTTTGCACTGCAATTTGGATATAAAGTGAGAAGAAAGCGAAGCGGATCTGCTGTTGAATCGACAAAGAACCCGGGGCAAAAATCGAATCTGTTGGTATGGTGATTCCGGGCAAGACAATAGGCAATAGGTCGAGAAGTTGCAGGCAGTCCAGATTTCTGATGTTACAATCTCCGTCGGTGTAGCAGGTGCTTCCTTCGACTGTTAAAAGAAAGAATGAGGTTTGTGCTGGGTTAAGTGCTCCGTTGTAAGTATGTTACGGTAAGGTTGTACAGTCACAGATGTGGCCTCCATTTTCGTTTTGTTTAAATGCTTTAAGATCTAATTGTATTATATATGAATACATTACTCTATTGTATAAGTCACTGCTCACACAATGTGCTTAAAAAGGAAGGTTTTAAGCAATTTAAGAAAAAATGTCACCATCTTCAGTGGCAAGAGACAAAGGGCACGGAGGGGTTAGAAAGAACCACCTTTTTGGCTTAAAAACTCCTCCCAATCAATAGTCGACTTAGGTTCTTAACAATTTCTCAAATTTACACCAAGGGGCTAAAAATGTCCACTTTTACTGCAGAAAGACCCCCCCTCCCTTTGAAAATTCTAGCTGCCTGGTCTTACTATTAAATGGGAATTACACGCTGGTTTCCTCACCAGGGACACATTCCAGTCGGGCACCAGCACCCTGACCTAGGGCTATTGCACTGAATCCTGGCAGGCAGGTGCAGACGCGGCCGCTCCCCGGGACCTCGAGTACTCCAGCCTTTTTCTCCACTATGCTGTATTTTTCTCCATTAACGTTTCCTAGCAGCGTGGAACAACTGGAGTACTTTGCGATGCAAACGTCCTGTTGGGGGTCGCAGGGTTGATTCAGCTCTGAAGAATATGGATTTTATGTTTAACGTTTTGTCCCAGCAAGAGACGTTCTTTTCTTCCTTTTTATTTTAAAGAGGTCACAAATAGCCCGGATAAACGCTAGCCTCGCCGCTACTAGTAGTGAACTGGATAAAAATCGAGTAAAGGGATGCCTAGACACTCCATAAAATAAGTACAGTTTTCGTGAAAGAACAACAAAACTAATTTTGTCAAGTAGCAACTATTTTATGGCTCTAAGACTTTCTATGGTCGAGTAACGCTCATCATCTCACACAATTCAATTTTAAAATCCCGCTAATACTGTGTAGACGTACGTAAGGGTTAACTATGTTAAGTTTCGTAATAGATAATCTCTCTTCTTAAATATTAATGACCATTTGAATATAATGCAGAGTGTTTTGGGGTCTATCCGAACGTTGTAATTAGAAGTAAAATTTACTTACCAAGTTCAGCAGCGAGAGTTTGTTCCCAGAACAAGAAGCTGGCTACCATACACAGCGCAGGCAGCACCTTCGGGAAAGAGATTAATAGGAAATAAAGCAAATGATGAAAGGAGAAAAATCTACTGATGATATACCAAGGATAATGGTGAGAGAGGTCAATCTTTAATAACAAAAATGCATTAATGAACTAAACCTTGCTCAATAATGACGTGATAAATGATTTGTTTTGACGACCAGTATTTCTGGAACATTAAATTTTTAACAGAATGCAGATTGTTACCTTCATTCTGTGTCTTTTCATTGACGTCTCCAACAAGATGATGTCCCTTTGCCAGCTTTTTGGGGAATTGCAGGCCCCAAAGTAAAAATTTAGCGGGCTCCTACGTTTTTCTACGTGTGCCAGTGTAAATGAGGTAGTTAAACTTTTATATCGGTAATAAGGAAGAGCGATGCTGTCCAATAGCATCCATTGTTTCATTGTATGATTTATAAATATCTAATCTCTTCTTCTTTAACTGGCTGCAGTTAACGCTCGGCGGACAGAAAAAAATCATAATTCCAATGGAGCGATTTTTAAAAAAGACAGATTATTATAATCAAGAACCAGTATGTAATTTGACGTAAAAACGTGTTATTCAGACACATTATCTGTTTAAAAGTCCGTGTAAATATGCAGTGCGGTGTATCACTTATTACATGATATCTTTGACCTCCAGGGGTTATCTTTGACGTTCATTTTTTCATGTCTTCCGCGTCGTTTACCACGGTCAAGTTGAACAATTTGTGTTAATCTCTACCTTGACTTATCATATAATTGGTAGGGTAGAAACTTGTCTATACTTTTCATTTTTTCCTGTTAGAGGGAAGTCGTTTTGGATGAGGCACTTGTATAGCTTAACTGTTTAAATGAAGGCGAACGGCTTAAATCTTTTGCTCTCAAAAGAAATTGATAGATCGTAGAGTATTAAATTTCGCATTGTTTTGAATTTTCAGAAATGGTAATATCAGTAAATACGGTAAAAGAACATTGTAGGGGATAACTTATAAAGTAATTGTCAACATGATACTATTTTTCTTCATTTGCACGCGTATTCAACCTGTTCTTTCGGTACACAATCCAAAAATGTGCATTAAAAAACGATCCGTTTTTTTTCTAACATTAAAAGCGTGCTGAAAGCGTAATTGCACATTAAAATCGCGGTTGCTGCATTCAGTTAGTATATCATATGCTGTAAGTAAGGCACGTTTGAAACGTCAAAATTTTACCGTTTGTAAAAAGAGAAAGTTAAATGAATTTGGAAGAGGTGCACGGATGTGAATGCGTATAGAGAGGGCAATGCATTTTGGTAGACGAAATTAAAACTGACCTCTGAAAGCAAAATAAATAAATAAATAAATAAATAAACTCTTGCCAATTGTAATAATATTTTGCTAAATTTATTTTGGAATCTACCAGCCAGAATTTAATACATCATTTAATACATTCGAAAAGGGGAAATGAAAATGTAAAAAAAGCTTGTACATTTCCACTTATTATATGCTTAATGACGAAAATGTACTTTTTGCTATCTTTTGTTATAGATTTCAGCAAATGAATGTTCGGGTGGTAAAAATAAAAATCTTTATTACTTTTTTTATTACATTTTTTCTGCTTACTTTTTCTCCACAATTGTGGGATAAATAAGAATAAAACTGAAAAGGGACTAATATTGGCACAATTTTTCATCTTTTTCCTTTTTACTAATTCTATTTGAAATATTATTTATTTTTTGTGGGGGAGGGGATAGTCAGGCGAGTTTTCATATATCACGGTCCATGTTTGTGCATATGTCGGGGAAGCTAATTCAAGATCATATAAACGCCGTAGATATTTTAAGTTGTTCCTTTTTTAGGCTTCATCAAAAATATAGCATGTGCAAAAATTAAAGTAGTATCAATAATCAGATACATTGCAACATAGAACCTGTCATTTGGGAATTAATAGCCATATGCATTTTACATCTTAATCTATCCATCATTCTTCGATTCATGCAGATCAATATCCACGAGTGTTAAACAGTATTTATACAATTAATATTTAAATTCAACATAATGGCTACTTAAGGGTGCATTCAAATAGATTTTGATCGATCTATCCCCGTGGGGAGTCTCACTTGATTACTGTCAGATAATCCGGCTTAAATGTCCGTCCCGCCTACAACAAGCTGTAAGGGGGTAATTAACTTTCGTACCCGCTCGGCTGACAGCTATTTTGCGTGAACCCCCAGGGAGTTAGGTTGATCTAGTTAGATCGATATAATCTCTGGGAATGGGGTCTTAGTTTCTTTAAAATGCTACAAAGGATTCCAATAAAATGGCTGAGATTAACTGTTTAATGAATTGAGCAAATACGTGTACAGTGTAGCTGTTCTGATTTTCTTAGAATAAGGGAGGGCGTAATGACATATTTAAACGGCAACATGAAACAATGAAAGAAAATATGAACAACAGCATTTTATTAAAGCGACGCCTGAAGCACTACAAAACAGTGGTAATCTTGGCAGTGGACCGCATAAGACAAATTATGGTCCACACGTGCATGTTTATGCATTTATTCTGTCCCATGGGAATAATACTGCTCTTCCACTTTAAAATGGAAAGATCCTCAGTTCTTAAATCTATTTAAAGAAAATCGACAAGGACACTCTTCACTTATTTTTTATATTTATTGTCAACATCCTCCGGGACAAAGTCCAGAATAATTTTGGACAAACAAAAGTTTGTTTTAAATAATCCATTTCATCAAAATGGAACATTCAAGGTAATATTGATGTAAGCTCGTGGTCTTGCACGTGTCTGCATTCTAATTTGTTCCTTCGAAGGTGGATCCTACTCCATCCATACACCTTTTCTCTCTAACCCTACTTTCGATAGTAAGAGCCCATCTCTGAAATTAACAAAAACAATTAATAAGCAAATCGTTTAATAGGATATAAAACTAAATTAAAGAAATGCAAATACTAGAAAGGTTCAAGAAACGGATGTTTGGCACACTGAATACTCTATGAAACGACTTCTGAAGCACTTTCGATATTAAAAAAAATTACGATCGTCAATTACGTAGAGAAACTTTTGAATTATTTGAATGATTTCTTTCCTAATCTCCTACTTACTGGGTGGTGGTGGTGCATATCCATACTGGGAGCCGTATGAGGGGGGATGGTAGTACGGAGAAGGCACGGGGGCGGGATGCGGCGTCCCCTTCATTCCTGCACTGGTGGCTAAATGAACAAATGTTCACATATACATACATGTATATACAGAATATATTACTTATGATTCAAACATATTTTAAAGTTCATGTCAAGCAAACAATAAATTGGATGTTAACATTTTTCACATCGATAATATTTTCTATTTTATAAACTGAAACGATGTTTAACTGGGATGTTATTTTTTCCTTTAGCTTTCGTTATCTTCTCATAAATAAATTTTCATAAAGAATTATAACCAAGACAGTATATCTCTCCCTTGAGATCAGAGACAGTAATTCTTGGAACTGAAATCACACTGATATACATGTGCTAGAGATGTGGACTTGAAATGACTAAGTATAATTAGATTACAATCATCAGTCTGATATTGACAATTTGCATTATTGGAGAAAACATAGAATAAGAATGATAATCCATTCCACTGACCTGGCTCATAACCCTCGTTTCTGTCAACTGAAAAAAGAAAATATATATCTATTAATTCTCAAGACATTTACTTCACCTTACCTAATTATCTCATTCATTATGATTTTGTAAATGTTTCGCGGTCGATAACTATAATTTGCTAGGTTTTCCATAAACAATCAAACTTAATGCTTCATAATGGCGTAGCAAAGGAACAACTATTGCTGCGCCCGAACAATAGTTCTTTTAATGCATTATTTGCACAAACGGGCTAAGTCTAGTTTTTCAAAATTTGAAAACGCAGAAAAGTGACAAAAAAAAAAAAAAAAAAAAAAAAAAAAAAAACTCAATGTGACTTAATGACCAGAAGTTTCTTATTCTAGATATTTGAGAGCAATCTGCAGATTGTCAGTTGTTTCGGACATTATTCTGTCGTGAAATACTTAGAAACAAACAAAGAATACATCAATTTCTTCGGGAGCTATATGTTTACAATCCTTTGAGAAACATTCTACGACACCATTCACCTTTCCACAGACGATGACCACGTGCACCATTTATACAATATGCGTGTTGCATTCTGGTCAAAGGGATCATTCCCACAGATATTTGGATCGATCTATCTCCCTGGGGAGTCTCATTAAATTGCTATCAACTTAACCGATTTAAATGTCTGTCACGCCTAGTAGAGCTGTTGGGGGGAAATTATCTTTACCCCCTAGCTGATTCGATGGATCGATCTAGGCATGAGAACCCAGTCTAAATGTGTGCATTGATATTTCCGACCATGCAGCCACGGCTTCCCGCTCTACCGAAAGTAGGAATGAACACACGACCAGCGGCAATGGGTTAACCGCACTTGCGCGTCATTATCTGTGGAAAGGCGAGTTCTGAGGGCATACCTCGTTCACATATCCCGGCGTAATGGTTCGTATACTGAGAAAATTGTCCTCCATAGGGCATGCCTTGTATTGGCAAACTAGAGTAGGTGTCTCGGGATTTAGCTGGCGAGGGATATACGCACTTGTATTCGATGGTGTTTATCCTGTTAAACCGGCAAAAAAGCTGTGCGATAAGTTGTGCCCGGGCTGAACGTCTGTTGAAAACAGCAGGTAAAATACCTGAAAATAAGTGGAAGTAGTTGAAAGATATAATCATACATACAGGGTTTTTTATATATATATATTCATTTGTTTCAGATATTTCTATTTTCTTTGAATAAAAGTTTAAACTTTTAAGAGAGACGAGCATTGGGTGGTTATTGTGATCAAAGACAACCTAGCATAAGTAACAACGAGAGAGAGAGAGAGAGAGAGAGAGAGAGAGAGAGCCAATACGGCCTCATCTATACCTGTTAAGTCACCCGGAGCGATCAAGGTGTCCACCGGAACGTTCGGCCCAAACAGAACCGGGAAGGTAATAGATCTCAGATTGACGCAGTCCAGATTCCGAAGGTTGCAATCGCCGTCCGTGAAACAAGAACCGCCCTGAACTAAGACAGAATAAAAAGACAATTGAAAGTGTGTCCATAGCAAGTAAGCAACATAACCTTTCCACTTTCTCAAACCACCGTCCTGCCTTGCTTTACTTCTCTTTAACTTTATCTGGGTTCATTTCGTTAACCCGAAGTATTATTTTTCCAATGCATTTCCTCTGTATAATTTTGGATGGGTGAAAAACTTCACAAATCATGACTTTGATAACAGAACTCACAATTTAACAACAATTTATCTCTTACAATTTAGCAACGGGTATTTTTATTACCTCATAGTGTGGTCGCCCAAAGTCACAGGCTCTTTTATTTCAAAAACTAGAGTACCATAGAATTTGAGAAGGTATTATAATAACACTACGGACACGTGTTTCAGTTCTACACAACTGGGAAGGTTTACAATCCAAAAAGGTCGCATATATGCTATAGGACTCCCCTTCCCTCAGTGACGTTGCCTCGATTTCAACACTATGGCTACTAACCTGGAATGCACTCCATCCTCACGGATGCCAGGGCGCTCGTGGCGAGATTGACAGCACTGAATCCGGGAAGACAGGTGCACACGCGAAAAGGTTGGGTCTCTTCCAGCTGCCCCGCCTTGCGCTCGTAACTGGCAAAAGTGGCACCGTTTACGCCGCCTATCAACAACTCGCAGCTGGAGTACTTAGCAATACAGATATCTTGCTGTGGATCGCAAGGGCCCAGGAGATCTGAAAATGTTGGAATAACGAGCAATTCTAGATTTTTTTTTCACTTTTTTGCGACGCTTGGAGATGAATCGACCACGTACGCCAGCTATTGGGTGTCAAAACCTTTTGTTTTCCTATGACAAAATACATGTTGTCGCCAAACCGATACATGATAGTCAAAACATTGCGAAGGATGCACATTTACTAAATATATATTATGAAATATATCATATATTGTTATACATTGTCAAATAATTTTCTTGAAAGTTTTTCAAATCCGCCATTGCGGCCAATTTTCATTTCCGGTTATCTGATTAAAAAGTTAATAAGTAGAATTAATATTCCGCAATAAATTATCTGGCACCAAGCGTTTGTCCTTACAACAGTCGTATATTGTATACACACATACCGACTTCCAGTGCTGCTGTTTTGTAAAATACCAAGCAGATCAGAAGCACGCACAGAGAAACGCGCTGGAAAACTTGAAAAGCGGCCATTATGAAACTTCAGACGTTGTCGACTTCGGCGATGTTAAACCCGAGCGATATGACCGCAATTTGATGATGTGAACTTTTGGGGAGTTTTCAAAATTTTATATGTCGTTTTACAGGAAGACAAAAGATGAACCGAATCGCTATTTTCTGATTGGCTGATTTGATATCGTCTGCCACCACAACTTGCATCTCATTACAAAGGTTGGCGTAATTACACGATATAACTCGATGCATGAATGAACTAATAGCATAGCAACTTCGCAGAGTGAAACGAATCCTGATACATATCTTTTCTCACCATTTTTTTGTTATTTTTTTTAATTATACATGTTGCTTTTGTTCAAGTCATATTCCTCTTCTATGCACGGGTCTCTAAAACTACAAGCAAACAAACAGTCATAAACGCGACCAGTCCCTGCCTTTTTTTAAACATGCAGTAGACCCTACCTGTTCCTTGGCTTCAACTTACAGGTATGATTTTGCATATTCTCTATGTCTACTAGTACATATCCCGAGAAGCTACTCTTCTTTCCCAAATCACACTGTAGAGACGATAAACCCTCAAATAAAAATACTTGGTGCCGATATTTGCTTATGAAATGTACATAAAGACATGGCGGTCTTAGTGACTGGCCAATCATTTAGAACAAAACGATTTAATTAAAAATGATTTAAAACCTCGAAGCCAAGTGCAGGAATTTTGTTGTGCAATGATTCATGGATAAGAGATTTTTTCTTTGAGGGTAATTCAAATGCCGGTAGGACATATTTTAAACGCATTGTTTCCTTTTCTCCCGGTCTTTACAAATTTCTTAGAGCAACCATTGCTTTTAGGCTTCATATGACACAGAAATATATGTAAAATTAAAAATTAAGTTCAACAGTATCCTTTTAGTTTTAAATATCGGTCACTTGACACAAATCAAGTGAAAGTGCTCTAATAATAAGACTACCATGTTATCCTACGTAAGTTTTCAGTCGTGTTCTCCCTGATACTACGATTAATCATAATACAAAAATGCAATCATTGATTAGAATATAGTGGCCACACCTGTCGGATGCCTAGTCAGCGCAGGGTCCTTGTACTCTCCACCAGAGGTCAGCTGGGTGATGACGTCATTTCTGTGCAAAAATTTATCGCTCACAGTGGGGAAATGAGCACATACCTGGCCAGAAAAATTGTCCGTGAATATCTAGTGAAAAATCTCTCTGCGGGCCTGGAGGAGGTCAGGTTCCTTGTGGGTTGTATAAGTAAATGGCTCCTTGTAGGCTGTATAAATAATTGCCTTACTATTTTCAGCTTAGTTTTCATATGCATGTTGCTCATTAACGGGATGGCAAGAGTTTGGTTTTGGTTTGAAATAAACGAGTAGTGAAAAGAATGGCCAATGGTCACAACGACTGACCCTGCTGCGCTCGTGAGTGATAAATGTGACCACATTTGCATCTCAACAAACACATTTTAAAAAAGGACATTATATCAGAAAAAAAGGGGGGGGGCTTGTCTGCTATGTTGGTATCACTATATAACGGTATGCTCATTAACTACCAATGCGCATCTCACTTGGCTTAAATGGCATGTTCCTCAAAACACTTCGCAGGCAGCCGTTCAACAAAACAATTCAGCCAATATCACACATTTCCTTTACACTGTACATGTAGTAGAGGTATGAAACTTGACTGTATCCAAAAAAGATAATAATGTATGGAAAGAACAAACCGATAGGCAGAGAGATGCACTTGTAATCGTCTTCCATCTCATTTTAGGTGCGAGTACTACAATTACACCACGATAACACGTGACCGCTATCGACTCCCAGGCTAACGGTATGCTAATGTCAGGTAAGTATTATAAGATATTATCTTCAGTGCGGTAGACCAGGACTACAGTATATAATTACTGCGATAACAAATGCATAATGTAATCATTTTTGAAGCTGTGGCTAATAAGAATAAGACAGCTAGCAAGGATTTTTTTATGTATATTTATCAGAATGTTCTCTATTTCTTTCACGACAGAACATGAGAGCGCGAAAAGTTAGAGGAAATACCTAATACAGATTGATGTGATCAGTGAAAATAACAGAGCTACCTGTATTTAAACCTGTGATCAACTTTGTCTTAGCGCTGTGTACAATATAAAGATTAAGAACTCAAATTCTAAATAAAATCCAAAATTACCAAGCACACAAGTATTCTATACTAGCAACCCCTTTGAAATCCATCAACGTCTGGAAGCATAAAGAGCTTTCTAGCTAGTGGACAGTTGTCGTTGACTTTTTGTTAAACCAATCCAGTGCTTATACAGTAAGCATATGCCCATCAAATACCGTATATATCAGTGCTTTTACAGTTAAAATATGCTAATCAAATAATACATTTTACATAATGGTCCTTATATAGAAATCGCTATTTTACTACACCAAAGCGCATATTTTGGACGGTCCAATACTGTGTGTTTTGCTTATGCCTCATGGCCGTTAGAAGAGTTTCGGAAAGGCAGGATGCACTTGGAGACTGTGAACTTGGAAATTAAAGAAAAATATTCGGATAACCATCTTGAAAAATCATTATACGAGGACTATTTGCGCTCTGGTTGCACCATATTTAGATGAAGTCTACAAGCAGAATGTCTCTTCAAACAATAGTTGATATCAACATCTTTGATTGTCTAACATTTTTTTAGTTTTTGTGAAGGGGTTCAGGACCAAACAGCAAGTCTCTTCCTCAGACACATTGTTATGAATGTTATCATATGATTTAATGATCGGAGTTTTCATTACTTCTCTTGTTATTCGTTTTTAGTTAATAAAAATATCAAAATATTAAAAAAAATCCTTTATATATTTATTTGTTCTTGTTAGTGGTCTGGTGAGGATTAGAAGAGTAATTACTTATATAGCAGTTTTAACACATTAAAAGGAAATGAAAACCGTGGAAGCAGTATTAACACACTAAAAGGAAATTAAACCATGGAAGCCTGTGAAGGCATCTGAGATATTATGTCTGCCGTTTAAAACAGCGCCGTCGTTGAATAAGGAAGTAATTAAATGATGGACACAGATTACTGCGCATTCCAACTGGCAATTACCTCTGCACGCTGGGGTGAATTTTATCGCTCTCCCGATAAGCGTGTTCATTATTTCCTTGGCCAAGCAAGTAAATAGAATTTGATAATACTCATTATAGTTTTATATTAGAATCTCTGTGATTATGTGGCGCGCTATCGGCGCAAGGGGGGAAATTCCGTGACCTGCTGAACAAGGTGAATTGATTTTAACGGGCTTGATCTTTTAGATATGTTGATCTCGTTCGAGGTTTTGACGCGGAACCTTCTCGGAGTCTTTTATTTATTTTTTATTCATATATTACTATCTAGTTTACCCCGTACGTCAGCTTTATACCCACGGCATGTCACAGTTTCTGTCATTTTATTAATTATATGTCTAATTTACTTTGCCAGGTTGTGAAGTTGAAAACGCGATATTAGAACTTAGCCACGCCTTCCACCCCCACCCCGTCCCCACACTACTTTGAACTCAGTTTGGATATTCCTGGGTACTGTTTTCCGAAATAATGGCTGGTATACGTATAATGATACATGTAAAAAGTAGTCCGCTAGTGCTACCACCTACCTTCCAACATGCAAGTGTTAGAATAAAGTAAGAGGACAGATTTTCAATTTTAAAATATAAACATTTATTTTTCATACATTACAATAATAAATAACCCGCACAGCGCATAGAAAAATATGTCCTTTGGTAAAGATTACAGAAATAGCTGCGGTAGTTGTTATCTCGCAGCATAAGTTTTATAATGCACACCCTGATTGTGCTAGGTGTGACTTCTAGTTGCACCAACATCAGCATTGCGTTGGATGTGCTGAATTGGCGCAACCGCACCGACTCCCATTTCTCCGAATGTTTCTTGGGCATAAGCATCAGGTGCTACCACCTTCATTGGCCCTTGTTCCTTAGTTGCAGACAAAATATACAAATGAGCCTTTAATGAGCAAGTGTCTGAGTTACTGTTACAAGAAGTTGGTGTATGACCGGAAGAAAGCCAAAGTCTATCAGGACCTTTCTTTAAAGTCCGTCATGATTGGCATTCGTATTTATTATCTGGTCTAAAATCTGAGCTCATGGTCGCACAAATGTATATTTTGCATGCCACCTCTAACTGTTCGTCACAGCTTCTAATTTTTTTCTCGGTTTTTTATTTGCAAAATTGTAGAAGTAAACAAAACCAAAACTGGCTTATTCACAACTCCAAACCAGATGTTGGAGACCAGAATGACTGCTTTGGAAGAAATCCCCAAATTATTGACAAATGCATTGTCCGTTACTCCGCGCATAGTCGTCGACGTCTTGAAAGGGAAAAGCTGACCGCTGTCCAAATCAATACCCACTGATTTACTTGCCGTACCCGTAGTTGTTGTAGCCACTGCCGTATGGAGAATAACCACCTCCGTATCCTGTGCCGTAGCCAGTACCGTAGCCTGTACCGTAGCCTCCGTAATTTGGAACGGCCTGTCCGTAACCGGGAGCTGGCTGTCCGTAACTGGAGTATCCACCGTAAGCTGTTTTGGAAAGAAAGAAATAATATTTTTAAATGTTTGAAATAATGAAAAAAATTTTAATGTCACGTTTTTTTGTTGTCGAGGAGAGTTTATTGTTATGAAAAAGCGTGAACGTGTGCTTTTATTGTAACCATATTTTTAAAGACAAAGAGAGAGAGAAAAAGAGTTAGACAGAGAGCGAGAGAGAAAGAGAGAGAGAATAAAAATCTATACGTACGATTGTATGGCTGTGGTTGTGGTTTAGGTGCTGGAGCAGTGTGTCCCTTCTGGCTGACTGAGCTGGCTGTAAAACAAGAATGTTGTATGTGAATTAAAAGACGAGCTTCATTCATACGAAAAAAGAAGTGCATTCGAGTATAAAGAAGAAAAAAACACCGATCTAATACTGGAATGAATCGCATTCTTTAACTGTCGAAGTCAATTAATTTCATCAATATTGCTATTATTCAGAACTGTGTCAACTCCGGATTAAGCCCGCCATTTAAAGTCGTTTCCCAAATCGCAATTTTACCTAGCAGATAAAGGAATGTTGTCGAAATTCAATTTGAGCAACGATTTTATGTGTTTACGAAAATTTAATAAAATTGATCATTTTTGGCGATTTTATTTGTGGACTTGAAATGAATATAACGTACCTGATGGGTATCCCTCATTTCTGTTAACTCTCTGGCAAGTGCCACCGAAACCGCCACCGGATCCGCTGGTTCCATGACTGCTACCGTAGGTGCCACCGTACATGTAAGTGTCCTGTTTTGTTGGGCTTGAGTAGGTACATTTGTACTCAATGGTGTTGACGCGGTTGAAACCACACAGGAACTGAGTTGACAACTGCAAGAAGCCGGCGATGAAAGCATAGATCGCCTGGGTACCGGGAGTCAAGAATCCTGGGGCGAACAAACTGTCGGAGTTCAGTTGGCCAGTGGCGCCGAAGATACCAGGGAGCAGGGAAAGAAGTGGGAGGCAATCCAAGTTACGGATGTTACAGTCTCCATCGGTGTAGCAGGAAGCACCCTCAACTGGAAGTTTAAAAAAAGAAAAAATATTACATGTAAGTTTGGTATATATTGTTGTGGAAATACTAATTATCTTAGTTTTCGTAATTATATTAAACCTTACGTTATCGCTTGTATTGGTCTTGATTAACAACGCAATCTAACGGTAAAATTGTGTTCAGTTTTTATTCACTGGAACTAAAGCAAGAAAGCAGACACAGGTCTTTTTTATTATAGATAAAAAATATGCCATATTCAATTTTACCTGGGACACATTCCAGACGGACGCTGTCACCGACAGCTTTTCCGATGTTGACAGCGCTGAAGCCTGGGAGACAAGTACATCTTCTGGAGTTGGCGTTCACCTCAAGGAGACCGGCTTTAGCTTCCACCATGGCGTATTTCTCACCGTTGACATTTCCGAGGAATGGCTCGCAGCTGGAGTACTTGGCAACACAGATATCTTTGTGGGGATCGCATACACCGAGCAGATCTGGACAAATTAAATTACAAATTGTCTGATTAGATATATTTTTTATCTCTCATTTTTGTCGTAAGTCTTAAAAAAGCCTTTGAAATACTGCAATTACGCATATCGCGCACATTCCAAACGAGGACATTAGTATATTGAGGGAATCCTCAAATTTACCTGTATTATTTTATAATTCTACTAAATCTAAACTCGCAGATAAAAATAAAGCCCAGGTTAAACAGAAAAGATCATTCTTTTTCAGTTTGTATTGCTCTCAAAATTTGCAAGGTTTTGAGTAATTCTATATTTCTCTTTGCTTGGAACGAGGCTCATAGCTGAATGTATTATTTCTTGTAAAAAAAAAAACTCCCTCAAAAACAACCACAGAATTATCTAATGGTACAAACTCTAGAATCTTCACGCTAAAATGCACTTACCCACTTCTGCACCTCTAGCCAGAGCCAGGCAGCATACTACAACAAGCGACGATACCCAATGCATCTAAGAGTAGAAAAATTCAAGATATAAGACTTAACGTACAACTGGGTAGATAAAAGAGAGTCTTCCATAATTTATTCCATCGTATTCATGTTTAACTCTGCACTGGTTTTTAAGCCTAAAGAGTCTGATTTTGATTTCGGTAAATTCTTTATTAATCCTTGGTCGCAACACGAAGTTACTTGTTAGTGTGATATATTTTGGAAATTTATCTATTGATGTGCGAGACATAACAGCAGTGCATAGGTTATTGAGGAATTTGAGATACATGGAACTCTTAAACGCCTTGGCTACGATCTCGGCTTAAAATATCTAAATAATCCAGGGCCTGAATAAGATGTAAACACCTTTCTTCGAAATGGTACAGAAGTATACGGACGAATTATATAAACTGCATTTACTTATTCTGATGTGCATTGTTTTCACTCCTCAATAATTTATATTAAGAAAAACTTAATCGCATAAACAACTTTACCTGTGCATTTTCAGCATTGAAGGGGACATAGGGTGAAGATGATGTGGCGAATTAAAATATCTTATAAACCCTGCTGATTGAGACCATTATAAATGTGGTCTTCATCTAATGTCGTTGCTATGATATGAAGCGTTAGCATGTTCTAGTTTATGCAGTTGTTGGAAATTGCATTCGGAGTAAAATGTTTTAGTTAAACGTTTAAGGTAAGTCTCGAAAACATCTCGTATGATACCGCAGCAACTGAGCAGTACCAGTACAATTTCTAAATATACCCTCACAGACAGTAGTAACAAGCAAATGGTATGCAACGAAATGAAATGAAATGAAATAAAATTCAGAGAACTAGTTGAATTACCTTTGTAGTGTAACAGGAATCGGTTCAACCACCTTCAGTTCACGTATATTCCTACTGGCCGATGAGATGCGCGGCCGACACTTGCTTTCCCTCCAAAGCACGTTTCTATCGTGAAGTCCATGGAGAAGAGAGTCAACTTTTATACCCTCCTCGAGTGACCACATCGGCCAGCCGGAAACAAATTAAAATTTTGCATCCCCATTGTTTGATTGCGGTTCGTGAATATCGTGAACTAATTGGTCCACTAGTTGTTATCGCACTGATCTGCATGAAATTAGCGTAAGCGGACTTCTACGCGTATTCATTAAATTTAATGTCATGCAGTTGACCACTTTTCGCATCTCATTTCCTTGAGGTAAATCTTTTTGAAGATAGGAATATGGGATGTGAGAGAGCAAATTTTACTACCTATTTTATTTTATTTTCTTTTAATTCCTCTGCAACCCAGCACGCATATTTGATAAAAAAGATTATTTTTTGTAACATTTCAACAAAATTCCTTGCAGCAGCACATCTTAAACTCTGACACGACAGATCAAATTCTTAGATTAATTCAGACTGTCTGGTGAACCCTCATCATTAGGATCGTTATCATCTTATAATTTGCATTAATAACATATAGACTTATCGGCTATTTATATCAGGAGAACTTAAGCTGCTATTGCGATGGCGACGAGCCGGTTCGTCCTATAATTTTTTTCAGCGTCACGAGATATACCGTCTTGATATTTTACTGAAGAAATAGCGGGATCTGACCTGTACTTAGAGTTCCTTCTGTTTATCGATAAATCTCAGAATGGACAAAACGTGAAATTAAAGAGCACTTCAGTTCACATTTTCCTACTTGTACGAATTTCATTGGAGGTCTCGAGGAAAAGAAAGGGCAGCTAGCAAATAATGTAAACTGTATAAACGTTTACTCTTTCAAAGTTAGTTCCTTCTTTGCTGGTCAGTATCTCTTAATGTTCATTTGACGGGTTATTTCACCTGCAATTTGTAACATTCCGTAGTCCTGTTATTTGACTGAGAGCGATAAGGGTATGATACGCCGCTGTTGTCTATAAAAACCAGAAAATTCAGTTCTTGTCCTGTAGCGCCGAAACTTTGTAATAGACGCAATATGGAAAATACGCTACCGTTATCTTTCGTTCATTCGTTCGTTCATTTTATTTTTTTTTTTTTTTTTTTCCTTTTTGTATCTTTTTTTACTTCATATTTTTGTGGCACTTTGATGTTTTTTGGCGGCACTTTGATGTAACATTGTGTAAGAAGGGTTTAACATGCCATAGGTACTGAACATTCGGGTAATGTTCCATAAAGAAATGCTTGATACAGAAACTTAATAAAGGGACATCGGAATTTATGTGTACACAAAGTATTATATAAAATAAAAATTGAAAAATCAGAATGTAGTGACGATAACTCCGGGCAGAGGATACAGGAGACATTTATCAAGTTAGTGATGAGCCCAAGAGAAATTATCTTCACAGGTAGATTTTTTGAAAACAATTAGCTAGGCCTTTTTAACAGATATTTATGCAGACTAATGTGTACAAATTGAAGTCTTTCTTACGAATTCGTGATGTTGGTGGCGCTATGGAGATTAACTCACACAACTCTTTAAACAGAGAAAATTTACATTTAAATTATTGTGAAATTATCATCTAAACCACAGACTTTCTTAACTGGCAATGTTGACGCAGGGAGAGATTATATCTGCCACGTAAAAACACGACCAGAACGACGTGCGTGTTCTCTTTATTAAACGATCCCCATGTTTGAATATAAAGCTATAAATAGTAAAAGATTACCTCAAATCGTGGTTGTATGAATAACCACTGAATATGGATGTTGCCGAATGAATTCACACCAATTTGCATTCAGAAGAACTTTGATGAAGATAACGGACCGGTCTCAATTTACATAAATTACTTACATGTTTACGTGCTGCGATTATGAATATTTCAGAATTATTATTTTCTCTTGATTATTTTCTTTTTATTTGCTTTTGTTCAGAAAAATGTTTTCATAGTAATAAACTTCTCATGCGAAGTGCAAGAAAAATTTACATCAATTACTGTCGGTGTGAAGTATAGGGAGTTCTCTTCTCCATTTTTTCAAAGCAAATAATTTCAGAAACGCTTCCCTCCCCCACCGTACAAAAGAGGGGAAGACTCGTTCGTCGACTTACAGAAACGTCCTAGATTCAACAATATATATCAATTAAATCTCTCAGCTCATCTTCATATGCTGGGCCCTCCCTCAACACACCTAAGAACAAAAATCTACATCCCTTAGTGAAATTATTGATTCTCAGAAAAAATAAAATGCTCCCCATCATCAAGATGTCAAGCAGACTGCGTCTGTGTGACATTCGACTTTGGTGTAATTATGGGAGAGCTGCAACCAGTATATATATACACGTACGACAATAAACTGTAATTAAAAAGGGTCGGAGCTTACTTTTATTTTCTTTATCATTGCCCCTTTTTTGTTTTGTTGTGCTTTGTTTTTAATATTTCTGCACTTCATAAGCTGATGTGTATTATGCACAGTGCCATTTTCTGTTCTGATATATCTAACCGTCTCTTCCTCTATCCCTGGTCTTTTCCGTAGACTATGGTAGACGATATTTCTCGTGAAATGGACACATGCCCTCGCATTGCAAAATATTTAATATTTTTTAATCAACTTTTTAATCAACTTTTTTTTAATCAACTTTTATGCTTTAAAGAAAAGCGTGCGAAAACACCACTCCCGGGGCCCATGAATACCCCTACCCAGTGAAAGAACCCTTACTGTATACATGTACGGCCCCGGGAATGTAGGCATACATATTGTACGCTGCCTGCGTAGATATTCAGATAAGGTATCGGATCAGTAGCGGTAAGGCAAACTCACACGATGAATATTGTTGTAATCATCATAATTGTGCTTTATAAACATGAATTTATAATCTGTCTAGTACTTTTCTAATAGGTCTACTTCCATACATGTCTGTGCATGAATTAAAATGCCCTTTTTGCGCCCCTGGGAAAATAAATACGAGTAGCGCATATTTATTCAGATAAGTAACGTAGATAAGACGAGCTCACGCGATGAATATTTTTGTATAATTATTTATTAATTAACAAAATTCTAGCATAATTTTATGCATGTTTGTGCCATATTGACACCCTGACGTGGCACAGGGAATGACAGTTATCGCAGCATTTCCACATTTTTTGAAAATTGGGGTAAACTGCTAGGCCAAATTCTACCCTACATGGGTCGAAAAGAAATCAGCAGAAGTCCAGTTGAATACAGAATTGCGTTAGTTCGATGAGATAACATTAAGCGCAGTCACATGACCACCCAGCAGCTAATGGTCTTCATGTAGTCCAAATGAACCCAATTCCTACATGTAGATATTAAGAAAACACAGGGCAGAAACATCTGGATTAGGAATATATAAAAACCGTCATTGGCCCTGAAACGATATATTCCATTTCTTTGGATCGCGCACGTACCAGAATCAGTCATTATTTCATCGTTTCCTAGGATATACGTCTCTATCTCTTCGATAGCTAAATGTAGTGTCTTTTCAGCATTTCGTCGAGATCTTTTGTTGTAAAGATCTGTCATGGCTGTCTCAAAACACTGTATTAGTTTCAAGTACAGTGGAAGGCATACACGGAGATAAAATTTTCTTGGGCACTATTTTTTCTTGCCGTAGTACCCGGTTCCGGTATAAGGTGAACCGTATCCATACGCCTGTCCTCCGTATGGCCGACCTCCGTACTGGCCATATGGTACAGCTACACCTGGCCCGTAAGGTCGGTAGCCATATGGCTGGCCGTAGTCTGAAACGTTAGAAAACGAGATGACGTAAAACGGATATATTATATTTATGGAAGACGTATGTAAAATACCAACCGTAAGTGAACATGAAATTATCCAATATCATCGGTATAAATAAATGAAAAGGTAACGTACCATCATACAACCTTTCTTTGTTAATTTGATAAATTTGCATCTTAAAGAAAGGTAAACTGACCGATGCAAAACGTTTGTTTGGCAGGGGATCACTTTACTCTTTCAAATTTCTATAATAGAGACAGAGATACTTACAATTCGGGGGCTGTGGCTGGGAATGCGGTTTAGTTGTTGTGACTTGGTGAGCTGGAAACACGTAAAATATGTGATATTATGGCCAAGTAAAAAATAAATAAATAAACATTCGCAATTATAAAAGACGCGGTGTTTTATACAGCGAGAGCGAGTAATTATGTATGTATGAATATGTGTTACCTTTAAGTCCTTTAAACTTTGTTATTTAAAAAAATACTCAAAATGATAATAATGCCTATTACAAGAAAAAAAAGGGGGGAAAGAAAGAAAAAAGAAAGAAAGAAAAAAAACTAGCCATGCATGGAGACTCATTATGAAATACTGAAGAAGAATAAAACGTTAATAAGTAAAGTAAACATAAAGTGATGGCGGCTAAAATATTTAATCGCCACTTCAACATAAGTTAATAATTAGTTTTTTCAAGTTCAAATATGTTTCAAAAGAAAAGAGTTGTTGCAGTGATTATAATCGGGGAATTCATCTTACCTTCACCACTACCACCTCCCCAACACACACACACACGCTCACACACACACACACGCACACACACACACACGCACACACACGCATGCACACGTTAAAATAAATAAAGTATAAGTCGCTTAGAATATATATATGTGTCTCAAATAAAACACCTAACCTGGAGGATATCCCTCATTTCTGTTAACGCGTTTACACGTGCCGGCAAAACCATAGCCTGTAGAAGCGCTTCCAGTATAACCTCCGCCATACATATACGTATCTTGCTTGGTGGGACTTGTATATGTGCATTTGTACTCAATGGTATTAACTCGGTTAAAAGTACACAGTGTTTGCGTAGTCAGCTGTAGAAATCCGGCTACAAAGGCGTATAGTGGTTGAGTAGCAGGAGGGAGAAAACCAGGCGCAAAGAGACTATCCGAGTTGAGCTGCCCCACCGCGCCAAAGATGCCAGGGAGCAGGGAAAGAAGTGGGAGGCAATCCAAGTTACGGATGTTACAGTCTCCATCGGTGTAGCAGGAGGCACCCTCAACTGGAAATA